CCATCATGGTTTTGTCAAGCTGCTGCCTACCTTTGTGAAGCAGGAAAAAGACTAAAACAAAGTGAATCCAGTAGAACTTTTTATTGCCTACCTGGAATGGGTGACAATAGTTGAAGAAACTTTTGGCTCTCAAAATGGTATCTGTGCCCCATTTGTTTGTACTCGCTGATACCAATACCATCATTTTAGTGCTGGTATCCGAGCCACAATAATACTGATACAAAAATTTTAATAGAATAAACACACTTTATTTGATCTACCTTCTGTCCCTCACTAAGCCCACTCTCACTTATCTGATTGCTCCTTCCTGTGTTTCCAAAAAATCAACAGCAAAAGCATATACCACAGTCCTTTTCACTGTAGACAGCCCATGATCTGCTTATCTGTTCTCCATTTTTATTTAATATGATAGAATAATAGCTGGAAGTAAATATGAGCCCGTCTCATGTTTTCCACTTCAGCATGAGAGAAAAAAAGAAACACCTAAATAACTGTTTTTTGTGGCAGTCTGTAGCAAATACGAACGAAATTCAAAACTTAATTTTAAAATGACCCATGGTCAGTATGGTAAATAAATAAAATCAATATAGGGGGACATCTCCTTCTGCGGTTTAATGCTCACTAGTTGTTCATCTCTTGTTCAACAGGTGCTAAGTTTGCTGCTGACGGTGGGCTGCTGCTGGAGGGGCCCCTTAGATACATTTAGGGCCGGATCTATCAAAGGTTTGCGTGTATAAAAACATGAGCTATTTCACTGCGCACGCAAAAAAATGTACAAACTGATCTATCAACAGCGTGCTAAAAGGATTTGGTCTTTAAAACGTGCTAAATAGCGCCTCTTATCCATTTAGAACTTTTTCTGCAATGAATATGCAATATTGGGCGTTTACACGCAAAAGTGCGTCTTGTGGGAGGAGAACATGTAAATATATTAATTTAGCACTCGCAAAGTGATTTATTAAACCTGAAATCAATTTTGCTAACGGTATCTGACTCTATATTTAACACGTTTCAAAAGAAGGTGCAAATGGTCTGTATGCGTAATTGCGCACACATGGCAGCGGTTATTGTCGCAAGAAGGAGACATCGAAATGAAGCAAGGAGACGCAGAGAACGCATTTTTTCACTCCTTGTGAATATTTTTGGAATGAACGAGGAAACGATCATCAAAACATAGTTTATCCAGCATTGCCATTTTGGAGCTGCAGTTCCAGTGATTTGCTCCTCACAGAGCGTCAGCTGTACTTGTTCTTCAGTGCTGGTCAGAGGCATCTCATCTACTGTGCCCCCTCCTCTTTTGTTCGCAGATGTTTTGTTATATGCCAGTTTTTCTTTGATTCGCCTTCTAATATCCTGGTATCTTCTTTTTACTTCATCCACTGTTCGCAAGGTTTCACCAACAGCGTTTACTTTATTACAGATTTGTTCACATATAGCGTTCCTCTGTGTGACAGTCACAATTTTTTGCTGTAGCTCACTTAAATGTTTGTTGGCTTCATCCACCAACACCTCCATTTCCATGGGGTCGAATTTCCTTCTGCGCTTTCTGCTGTCCAAACTCGCCATGCCGCAAACCACAAAACGCGCAAAACCATCATTTAAATAGGGCGTCTCCAACAGTTTTGCACCTGCCACCAGTTACGCAATCACTCTTGTTAAATCACCCGCAAACCATGGTTCAGCCCCTCGCGCAAAATTCCGGTTTGCGAGCGCAAATTACTGCACGCAAAATTGGATCTTGATAAATCCGGCCCTTAGTGTTATAAGCTTTCTGATGGCATTTTAGCAAAAGGATTTTTATCAAAAACACAATTAATGTGCAAAAATAAGGAATAGCTGTATTAACCATATATATAAAAGGAGGTTTATGGGCACCCCAGGAACTTGGGGCCCTAGGCAACTGCCTGGTTTTGCCTAATGGTGAATCCGCCCCTGCCCCCAATGATACCTTTAAAGGTGTTTACATGTGGTAGTTTTTTCCAGCGATGGACCGAAACTATTCTCCTTCCTTCTCTCCGTTCATCTCTGTTCAGGGTTCTTTCTGTTCTCGACTCATCATTTTTTAAGTCGTAAAACTCTGGCACATTTTATTTTTTTTCTATAAAATTATGTTCATAAAAATATTGTTTTGGGATTCTACTCTGAACAGCATTGTTTGATGAAACACATTTGGCTAAATTACTTTTACCTGAGATGCAAATAAATTCACTATGGATTCCTGCTTCTCCGGCTGAATCAAGTGATGATTTCTCTCATGAAGCAGAGTTGGAATTAATTCTTAAAATGGTCTATTTTATTCAGCTGGTTGAAAATGCAGAAATGCATCTAAATTTAAGATCTCAGTCTCCAGCTGTTTAATGAGATAAGAAAATTGATAATTTCCTTCAGCTGGGATGAGGAAAACTCTGCATATATGCAGAGATGGGAAGTAACGAAGTACAAATACTTTGTTACTGTACTCAAGTAGATTTTTTTGATATTTTTACTTTACTTAAGTACTTATTTTTATGGCGACTTTTTACTTCTACCCCTTACATTTTTACACAAATATCTGTACTTTCTACTCCTTACATTTTAAAAAATTGGCTCGTTACTTTAGTTTTGAATCATTTCAATGGAGTTACCTTTATTATTTTTCACGTCATCAATACCAAATTCAATCTAATTGGATGGGAATCTACGTTGCATTTGACGCACCACTACAAGATGAATCGACAGATTCGGCGGTATTCATTCGCGGCAAATCATTGCAGCTTGGTGGCGGTGGCGTTAGCATGGTAGTATGGACGACGAGATGATTGAAAATGAACACAACGGAGATCTAGTCCTATTGGCAGACATCCATTTAAAATGTAGGCAACGGCATGAAAAAAGTGGTTTCTACTTTTACTTTTATACTTTAAGTAAATTTACAAGCCTGTACTTTGTTACTTTTACTTGAGTAAAGAAGTTTAATCAGTACTTCCACTTTTACCAGAGTATTTTTTAACACAAGTATCTGTACTTTTACTTGAGTAGGGAAAGTTAGTACTTATGCCATCTCTGCATAAATGTTCCGTAAAATAAAAAAAACAAAAAAAAAAAACAAATCCACTGGACTTGGTTTCCAAGATTTGAAGAAGTTTCGCCTCCCCTCCAGGAAGCTTTCTCAATTCAAAGTACATTTGACAATTAGAAAGGAGAATAAAATGATATGAATCAATATCAGATGCTCCGCTGGTTGAACTTAAAAAGTAAAAACAAACAGCTTAAGGCAGGAGAGTAAGATTTAATAAAGAATAAAGAACTGATATAAAAGGGGAGTTTTTCTTCTTTAGATTTTTATAAAGCTTTTGATTGTTTGTATCACACATTTATTCTGAAAACGACATTATTTTTGATCTGGCAATAAATTTATTAAGGCGATCGCAATTTTATATAAAGGAATAAATAGTTCGGTTACTCATGGTAGGTGTACTTGCTGTAGGTTGAGATGAAAGAATTTAATCCAAATAATTAGCAATATTCTTGTAAAATCAGTTTGGAGGAATAGATGTCATTGCATTAAGAAAGATGATGTAGTAAAATAATTGAAAGAATGGGTCTAAATGTGGTGGATTTTGATGTAATGGATGGGGTCCTTAAATTGAAGTGGCAGAAAGCCTTCCTTAAATATACAGATTCCTTTTGCTTTACGATCAAAATGAATGGATTTGTGTTCCTTTTACGATGTGACTATGTGACTTTAATTGTAACTTTCTGCCAGTTAAGCTCTCTGCGATTCATCAGTACTATTGCACTGGAAATGAATTACAAACATAACCTCACTCCACAACATTCACTTTTGGAACAGAAATGTATTGATAAACAGGAAGTCAGTATTTGAAAGACATTGTTATAATAAAGGGATCTGCTCTGTTAGTCAATTAATGGATTCAGAGGGGAACTTCTGAATCATGGTGAATGATGATTCATATCAGGGTCGTTGTTTTGCTCAATATAACCTAAATTGCCAAAAAAAAAAAAAAGAAAACCAAATATAACAAATTGCTGAAATCTTAACTTTGCAATTTTAGTTCTCTGTTAGACATTATTTATTATACTCTGGCACTTCAGATGAAGGTATTCAGATCCACGAAATTAGATGTTACAGTGACATGGGGAGTTTCACTTTAAGCAATGTTTCCTGAATTCAATTAGAAGACATGACATTTTAAAAGACTTTATAACAGATCAAATTTCTAAAATAAAACCTATTTTTGTAACCTACCCTCTGCTTCCAGCAATGAAAGAGACACAATTCAAAATAATGAATGAAACATATCCAACTAAAGAGTTTTTGTCATCAGCATTTAAGTTACATACAGAATATTGTGTAGTTTTTAAGAGAAACACGAGACTTTGAAACATTTCTTCTATTTTTTCGTGAACCAATTTTTAAAGTTCTGGACAGATTTCTGCGACTGGCTAAACATAAAGAACATTGATCTGTCTCCTCTATCTGACACAGTTTGTAGAAACAGTATTATTTGGTTTAGAAGGGGAAAAAAACTATTTACAGGAGTATTTTGGAAACTTTCTTTTCATTCACAGATGTAAGACTTTTTTCTTTTTTTTTTAAGCCCACATTTTGTCATTGGAAAAATAATTTTGACCATTTTTCTAAGTGTCTGAAACTGGTTACATCTAAACATGTAGTCAAATTATATTTGTTGAAACGTTTTGATTAAATTTTTTGTTCTGTTTTGTTTCTTGTCTAACCCTAACCCTTGTTTTAATTTTATGTTGTTCACATGTCAATACACATAATTTTTGACGGTTATTTATTGCTGCCTAATGTCTATTCTATTTTACAATGTTTACTCCTATCTTGACTGATTCTGTTTGTGTTGTTCAATCGATTTGAGATTCTAGTATAATTTAGCATATATTTGTTTTGTAGCTACTTTGCAAGAAAAACAAAGCAGGAGAGCAGAGTTTGCATCTTTCGTCCTTTTCTAATGTCTTTCCGGCCTGCTTAGGCGGAAGTTGTATTGCGTGCATCACCCAAAACTGTCCGGCGGATGTTGTTCCACGGGCCTTGCCACAAAAACAATGGCGAGCGGGATCGGCAGTGAGTAATGTTTTTATCTCGTTTTTAATGTTATTTGCCACTATCAGACACCAGTAAGGCCGGATTAAAACATATTAGTTTATTTCATCCCAATTGTTGAGGCACAGTAGCCTCGCTGTCCCGAATATCGCTGCAGTGTTGAAAGCTGTGTGTGCTCCATGAATGTTTCCCCCCTTAACATTGCTAAGCTAAGGCGGTAATATAGACCAGAATTATCCGTTTTCATTTTGTTAGTAGAATACGACTCACATGAAATTTACAAGTTTTTGTTTTTATAAGCCTTTGTGAAATTACAGTGAAATGGGAAGCTTTATCCGTTCCGGAGTTGTTTTGCTAGCCGTAGCAAGCTAGCAGTGCTTGTTTTCCTTCAACATGCTGCAGTCATCATCGGGTGTGTTATTAAATGTGTTATTTATAAATAATAAAAATAAAGTAATTCCTTTATTTGAAAAGTAGTTTATTTCACAGACGATATCAATTCAAGTGTTATTGATGCTGTACGCATCTTCCACTCCAACATATTGAATCAGTTAGCTGGTAGGATCCAGTACCTGTCACTATAAATAAACATGTTATTTGTTGTATAAATATTAATTTGTTTTCTTGTATTTTTTCTTCTTTTCGCTGTAGAACACAAGATACTGAATGTGGGACCTACAGAGCCATGGTCAATCAGGGAGAAATTATGTTTGGCCTCATCTGTTATGAGGAGTGGAGACCAAAACTGGTAAATTAATTAAAATGCTGCTCAATAGTAAAGGAGAGAATCTGCTGTCAATCAATCATCAATTAATATAGATATATGTGTATATATAAAGGGCAAAACAAATTCCAACTTTAAAAAAAAAAAACCTAGCTGCTCTTCCAGACTGGTGAGATAACAATAAACATTTTCAAGAGTGAAAATCACGGTTCAGAACTTGCATTATTGAATTTGTTGTTTTCATACATATAGTCCTATTAAAAGCTGTGAATTGTGCTTATTAAGATGTAGCAAATTTTGTAAACTTTATATATAAGACAACAGATCCACTGAATGTATCCCAGTTGTGAGCCATGCATACAAACTCTCAACTCATGTCATTGATCTGTGTGCCAAGATTATAAAGTGCCCAGTTTAGTAAAGCTTAAGCCCAGATTTCCAAAAGCTTTGCTTATTTTTGGTCCGCTGACACTTGCCAGCAGAAAGAGCGAAAGCTGTTATTATTCCTGCGGCAGGATCGCTAATGTACTATTTAATGGCTATTTTTGCAAACCCTGGTTTTTAAAAAGCAATTACCTGCTAATACCTTTTTTTTTTTTTTTTTTTTTTTTTTTTTATACAAACAATATTTTAGATCAGGGGTTAGTTAATGTTTCATAATTGTTTCAATAATTTTTGTCAAACTAAAATGTATTTTAACCTTTTCAAAACGTTTTAACTACATAATTACATCCATGCTGTTATCTGCATAGTTTTGTTTTTTTTTTTATCTTTTTTTTTGTAAAAAACAACAAAAAAGATGTGTTCTTCATACCTTGAGTTTGTTTTTTAATTCAATCTAAATTAGCACTTTATTTATACATTTACAGTGTTTCTTTTTTGAGACAGATTTTTTTCCCCCATTTGCTCTTGAGTCTATTTTATCTTTTGATTTTGGTTCTTTTTCATATTTGTTTAGTCTTGTAGGTACCTGCAAGACTAAACTGTTAACTGTAAACTCTAATTTTCTTTATAGCTTTGCCTGTCACACCAGAATTTCCCTACTATAGGATAATAAATTGTATATTACTATTCTTTTCTGGGACAAAATGATTGCAGAGTTGGCATTTCAAACTGGCCATACCCCTTTTTGTGGGGTTAGTTTGTCTAGCATTACAAAAACACATGTCTGTGTTTTGGCTAGTGAACATTTGTTCCACTTTTCAAACATTTCCTCCTCCAGCATGTCTTTAAGACAGGTTGAAATAAAGAGATAATTGTTTCAAACATGTCTTAACATGTCTGTGATTAGCTAAAGTAGATTTTCCTCCCTCTAAGTAATACATCATAGATGGTGGTAGTTAGACTGACAAACTTCAATGTTTAGTGAACGCTGGTCATGGATGATGAGGTGGAAAATCCTCCATTACTTTAGCCAGTTTCTCCCATGGATGTTTCCTGCCCTCACACTGATTCCTCTTCAATATGCCCTCATTCCATGGATATTTTTTGTCCTTAAGGGTGTCTGTAAGCAGAGCCATCAAGCCTTTCTCAGAGCCTGGTCGACCTCCTGACTGGTTCTCTCAGAAGGTAAGAGACATAAACCTACTGTTGCATTTATTACAAGGCTAGTTTTTAGTTAACTTCCTGCTGTGTTTCTCAGCACTGTGCCTCACAATATTCTGAGCTGCTTGAAGCCACAGAAGCACCAAAGTGAGTGCATTAACATTTACACACTGCAGTCATTGTCAGTGATGCTGCAGAACTGAATTTCTAACTTGAGGCCATGTTTATTTAAATGTTCTTGTTCCTTTAGACGCAAGCGTGGGGAGAAGGGAGAGGTGGTGGAGACGATCGAAGATGTCATCGTCCGTAGGCTGACCAGTGAAAGGATTGAGGAATTAAAAAGATTACAGAGAGACACACAGGAGCAGTACAGGTAAGTGGACACTTCAGGTGCATCAGCTTTTGTTATCCTCTTGATTGTGTGCATGTAGAACTGATTTCATTATTAAAAATCAGCTTTAATTTTGGTTTATCGGGATTTGGAATTCCAAAATCAAAGGGTCTGTTCAGACCTGCCACATTTGCTCCACTTTAAATGGACCAGTTTGTTTTATTTCCTGGATCTGAACCTTTTCTGCAGGTATGAATAAATATCAGCAAACTTCGGTCAGGAACTAACGGCCAGATCGGGGACTCTGGTGCGATTTGCACCAGGTGTGAATACAACTTACAATTAGAATACAAACCACCTGGTCCAAAACAAACAAGCAGACTTAAAGACTGGTGTGAATTAAGTTTGGGTGATTGGATGAATCTATCTACCATCGACGATAGAATCAGACCTTCAGTGGTTGTTTTTGGTTTATTTAGAGCATTTATTTATTTATTTTTTCTTGGACCTGCGGGGTAAGACATAGCCCACAAAAAACAAAAACTAAATCTAATTCTGTTTTTAAAGTCGTAGGGAAATCATATTTAAATGTCAAATCAACATGTATATAAATGTACTCTTTATCAGACCATATTGTCCCAAAAGTTAGAACATTTCTATGTAAAAAAACAAAAATCCTGTCTTAAAATCTGTGTTTTTTTTTTTCGTTATCTTATGCAGCAGGTTAATCAGACATCAGCCTGAACACCTAAATTATTCCAAAAACAATAAAAATTTTCTTTACCAAACCAAGCTTCTGCCGCCCTGGCGTCCTCTTCCACAACATCTTCGTCCCCGCTTTCCTCCTCTAAATAAAAAATGTATGACGGAGGAGACTCATCCACGACCTCTGACACTAAACTCTCCTCCTCTTGCATGTTTCCTCTGTCCATAGCATTCCTTCACAGTGTCGTTTCTAAGTCACCAATTTAGTGCTACTTGGTCCCAATGGAATTTCCACTTGGAACCTACTAGCACTAAGTTGCTAACTGGTTAGCAAGATGCTTCTGACAAACCGGCCACAACCATATAGCTTGCAAACCAACCGCCACAACAATCCTATCCCCTTGATAAACCACCAATCAAATTCACTTTATTCACTCGTGTAAAGTCAGGCACCACTCGGGAGTATTCCGAACTGCGACGGTTGGAACATTCGCTTCCCTAAAATTTTAATGGTGCTCACAAGCTCCTTTCAGCTGTAGCTTTTTTTCCCCGGGGCCACCGAGCTGCAGCCAAACCAGAACCGCAGAGAAGCTGTTTTTTTTAAAAGTGTGTGGTACTTATATAGAGCTTTTTCAAGTCAGGCGATGTGACCAAATCAATTTACACTACATTCAGTCATTCACCCATTCACGCACACACCCAGACACTGATGATGGCAAACTATATTGTAGCCACACCTGCCTTGGGCTCACTGACAGAAGCAAGCATCAATCCATCCATCCATTCATCTTCTCCTGCTTATATGACAGGATCGCTGTGTGACTGGTATCTATCTCTAGCAGTCTATGGGCAAAAGTCACGGTACACCCTGGGAAGGTCGCCTGTCTAACGCAGACAAAAAAAACATCATGTGACCTGGATTCGATCACTTTGCATGCACACATTTAGTCAACAAGCAGAAGCTATGGAAGAGTTTGGAACTCTCAGCACAGTTGCAAAGAAAAAAATACAAATCCCTAAAAAATGCAATGATGTTTGATTCCAGCAGGCTTAAAACTGGATTTATGCTGGAAAAAAACAGTCTGACTGTTGGGAGTTTACTGAGTTATTCTATGATCTATCAGTTTTCAATGAGGCGTTACAGCGCTGGTCTAGCTTTCTCCTAATTCTGCTTCTCTGCCAGCAGATGGCGCCACATCTGTTTGTGTCAGCTTATAGCCCCCAGTGTGAGGTTCTATTTAGGCTTCAAAAGGATGATTTAAAAACTATCCTGATGACCACTTGGTTTATATTTTGGTCTTTTTGGTAGAGGCAATAATGTGACTGTGCACATTGAAAGCTCAAAACTAACCAAACAAAGACTCTGCCTGTCGTATCTTTCCTTAAAGGTTAGAGGTGATTTGCAGTAAAATGTTTTCCTTCCTGTTCCATTCCTTGTCCTGACAGAAAACTGAAGAAGGAGGTGGATCTGATACAGTCGGGTCACATGGACTCCCAGCTCAAAGATCTGTGGGCAGAAATCACACTGTAAGGTTCTTTTCTATCTTATAAAAAATATGTCTAACTTTAATCTGAGTTATTCTGCTGTGTGTGAACAACAATAATCAAGGATTAGTTCTTCTAGAGATGTAGGATTTAACCTTAATAGTGCTAAGATAGTATTGCTATTTTTTCATGATTTTATTGGCCTTTTTTATGCGTGTACACTGGATTCTGCAGTAGCTTTTCTCTATTTTGTTTGGTTGTTTTTTGCTACCACAGAAAGAAGAAACAGGAGGAGGAGGAAGCAGAACAGAAGAGGAAAGCCACAGAGATGGCGTACCAAGGTAGGTTCACACTGCTTACTGTGAACACATGCAGATCAGATTTCCCTCAAAACGCAGAAAAGCAAAATACACCCAGGCCGGTGCTGCAAAGCTGTTCATCAGTGAGACCTGATCTGCAAAAACAAACTAGCATAAGGTTGTGTGACAATGGAAATGCCTCAGCAGTGGTTTTCTATCCTTCTAGTCATTTACAAACACTTGAAAAATAGCCTCATAATTTTGATAAACTGAGGACAAAAACAAATATTTGTCTTCATTTCACCTCTTTTTTTGTGAGAAAGTAATTGATGTGAAATGACTTTCTGACATAACAGCAGCCGTTAGATAATAACGGCCAGAGGAGCCTGAGAGCACAGAGCTCTGCCGCTCCGACAGGTTTAAAAAAGGCTAAATCTGACTAACCACGTGATGTTTTGGTGCCTGTTTCATCAATTAACTTATTTTTAAAACAAATGAAAGGTTTTAAAATGTCATTTGTAAACTCACCTTTATTTACTGCCGCTTCTGATGGAACAAATCACTGCAGGACATCTTGCTGACCATAGCTCCGCCCCTTCAACAACCCCGGAAAAAGTCATCATCAGCGTCAATGTGCATTAACACTCTACCCCAGCTTCTCTAAACATTTTGAGAGTTGAAACAAAAGAGGCTATTTGATTCAAATATATCCAACAAGATGCTAGACAATGATCTCGGGCTACCACTCTAGTGCCCACTGGCTGAAAAACCCTTTGTGGCAGTGTTGCTCTCCATTGTTTACGTTCCTGATTTCTGTCATACTGATTACATCCCCAACACTAACCCAGCGTAATGGTGTCATCAGACACTAGGCCTGGGCAATAAAATAGCAATTTAGAAAAATGCAATTTTCAAATCGCAGAGGGACTCAGTTTTACATCACAATACATTTAACAAGAGTAAGAGACTAAATTTCTCCCTTCAGCCCTTAAGATGGAGCTAATATGATTAACGTGGGCATGTCATCGCACAAAAGGGAACATGGAGTTGCAGCTAGCAGCTGCAAATGTTACAGTAAAGTCCTGGAACACTGGATTCTGGGCCAGCAGGCTTTCAAAGTCAGGAAAAAACTGAAACGCTGGAGTAAAGCATCATTATGCTTGAGCTTGGCGCGAAGAAAATCGCAATATAGATTTTTGGCAAAATCTTTCAGCCCTACCAGACACGCAGCTGCATGGGACAGAGGCCTCACCGCTTGACAGCAGGGGATCAGACACAGCTTTTTATTTTTTGCTAATGGAAAAAGAGACAGATTGTTAGCATTATTGTTTAAAACCACGCTAACCACTAATTTTAGAGGGAATGAGGCTCATCAGTACAACAAAACACCTACGTGTTACAAAGCTTGCCTGGAAAGCCGGGCACCTTTCTGAGAGCTGTGCTTGATGTTCTGGTAAATTTTTAATTGTGTCATTCCAGAGAGATCAGGTTCATGGACGTCAGTATTCCCTCCCAGTTACTGCTTGTATTTTCTTTTAAAACCTTCAGTTTATGAGCTATGACTCAAGATGTCCGCCTTTGACCTTCTGTTTCCCCCACAGCGCGCCAGGCACTGAAAAACACGCCGAAGCGCCTCACCAGTGTGACGGTCCGTTCTCCTCTGGGGTCCAGCCCCCCGACCCACGACTCTCAGGCAGACTCTGCGGTTCCCACGCCGCCCATGGACACTGAAGGCGTCCCTTCAGAGGACACCACCATCCACTCAGTTGTAAGAGCACTGTTCTTCAGCACTTATAAATTACAGAGGAAAATAGAAAACCTTTATTTTAGCAGAGACGCTGCAGTTCAAACACTGTTTTGCATCTGAACTTGTAAAAAGAACGGCCTTTCTCTGTCAGGCCCAGGGGGTCGGGGTGTTTCTGCCAGCAGCTGACCCTCCGGTGTCGGGACCAAAAGACGGAGGCCTGGCGAATCTGGTTGATGACTCGCCACAGAAGAGATTGCTGACGCAGAAAGCCACGCCGCCGCCGTCACCTCTGTTATCAGAGCTGCTGAAGAAGGGAAACCTCATATCAGCCAGCCCACGCCTGGTGAGATCAGCCTTCACATTACAAATACCAGTGATAGGCAGAGGCTAATTCCTACCCTAGCTTTTTCTTTTAGTGTGTTAAAGTTTGTTAATCCCTATAACAAATACAAAGCCTTTTACTTTCCTCCCATATCTGACATTTTCCGGGTATTTTCTGGTTTTAGGTATCCGAAGGAGACACAACCAATTTAACAAACGGTCTGCAGACTGCAGCTGTAGTGCAGAGTCACGAAGTTTTTACAGGTAAGCAAACTGAGGTGTAGCTAACACTGGAAACTAAAGAAGGGACAAGAGCATTAAATGCTCCAAGTTGATGTCACTGGGAATCCCCAGCAGTCGCTTCCCTCAAAGCAGCGCATCTTTGGGATTTTCCATTAATGTTCCCGCTGGCTTGAAGTAGAGAGCCGTTTATTGAGAGCTTTCATTCAAAATTAAATACATTAATTGTCAATTAATATTCTGTTAAAGAAATTAATAAATATCCCCATGAAAAAAGATAAATATGCTAAAATAATTTTATTAATTTATTTTCTAATTAATTACATAATTTATTTATGTATTTCATAATAGCTTTTTGTGACACTTTTATTTTGTAAATCTACTTTAGATATTAAGTGACTTTTTTTAACATTTTCATTTTAAGCTCTTTATGTTTTTAACTTCTCATATTCAAATAAGGAGGCGGGGTTTTATCTGTCGGGCCGCGCTGGTTAGGATTGGCTGAGTGAATTTGATTTGAAGTACTCCAATCATTTTGACCAATCAAATCAAATTATTTCCTCTTAATCAGCTCTGTTTGGTTCTGTCACTACCCGATCCGTACCATCAGCTTAATTGTGCATTTGCAAGCAGATATTCATCCAGGTTGCCATAAATAATGTTCTTATGGTACTAAAAGTACATATTTCTATCCTTAAATCACCAAAGAATTTTTATCTACATATTTATAAAAATAATTAATGGCTTTTTCGAGCCACAAAATATCTTCGCAAAATAGTAATACTGAACTTCTTGAAATGTTAAAAATGTTGTAATTTGCATTTATTATAATTCTGTGTATTTAATTTCCCTCTCTGATCAATAAAGTATTTTAATTGGACTGATGTGCGCCAGCCAGGCAGCATTATGTCCCACAGAGAGAACCAAATCCAACATCTCTGAACTGAATTTATACCTAGAATAAATACATACCAGCTGGTCCAGTTGGATCGACTGATTCTGCAGCTTTCCTTTCTCCTTTATCAGTTTCCTCCACACTCTCCTCTTTCTTCTCTTTGACTCTGAAATCCTCTCATCTTCCCCACTTATGCTAACATTATTTTCCTCCTCTTCACATTTTATTTATCACATGAACAAAGATCCCTTTAATTTGATGGTTATTAGGGTATAACGATATTCTTCCTCCAGTTACAGGATAAAAATGATAACAAATGTAACACAAGTCTAAAAGGAATCAGAAAGAAAACCTCAAATTAAGGAGTTATAACTTGGTACTTTATGTACACAATCCTTCTCCACTTGTCTTTAAAGTCAAGCTTAACAAAATAAAACAGCTCATTCAGATCCCTTTTCATACCACAATTTATTTTCTCAAGAGGGTGCACAAAAGAATTAGCCTGACGTAGTCCGACTCAATTCTAGTCAGAATATGAGTCTGATACTGCTCCATAGAGCTGTGATTATGGGGCGTGTTTCGAACGAACCAGGAAAAAAAATGCCTCTGCACTCAATTGGATAGACCTACAACCAATAAGAGCAACGGAGTGCGTGACGTATCTTAAGCGAGGCATAGTTGTTGTCAACAAAAATCAAAGCGTGCAGTTTCACGCCTAGAATAAGAAGATGAGACTTGATCGCGTTTCTCTGTTCCTCTTTTAAAATTAATTTGCTGTCGATATCTTCTAGAACAGACCTAATAGCAGAATCTACTCACCCAAACTCTCCAGCGGCAGCCATTATTGTTGTCACCCAAGCGCGCTTTGGTCACGTGGTTGATAACGTTACTCTTGATCATCTGTCCATCATCGTATAAAGCCCGCCCTGACAATTTGATTGGATCGCCTGACAGTGGGCTTTAATACTCGCGCTACTATGGAGCAGAGCCAGACCGAACTTCCCCGAACTCAAACCTTGTCGGCGGGACTAAGTTCGGACTGGCACCCAGGCTACAAAAGAATATGACTTGTGTGGGAGTAGCATTAGCAACATTAGCAGTTAGCCATGGTTTGTTTCCCTGTCTGTTACACAGTAGGTAGAAAGTTACTCAAGCAGCAACACCTTACGATCCCCAGCTGAGTCCCTGATTGTTGGAATCGCCCCTTTTGCTGTAATACAGACAGTAGTAGTGATAGCGAGGCGGGCTAATGCTAGCATCCTTTCAGGAGTGATGGAAGTATACAGGACGACCCAAATCATGCTGCATGGAGAACGAGCTCTAGTGGGATTTCCTGTTTTGAACAAAGAACCCAAACAAAAATAAAATGAGTCACTTTTACACTTTTCCCAACTCCAACACACACATTTAAACAGGAAAAAGTCTGCACAATGACTCCTCTAAATATTCAAACTAGAGAATAATAATGTGCAGCAAATGGAGCGAGCTGCAACACTCGCAACGGCTGCTCGCAACACATTGGATAAATATATTACAGTCATTCCAGTAAGATGCTCCTTTCTGTTTGTTTATTTTTCCACGGTGTTCTGACCAGGGGCCTGTTTCAATAAGGAAGTTCAACCAACTCTGAGTTAAAACTTGAACTCTGAGTTGACTTATCCTGAGATTGGAAACTCTGAGTTTTGGGTTTCAGAACAGCTGAAATGAGTTAGTTCATCAACTCTAAATTGACTGACTCTGAGTTAAGCGCGTGCACCACAACTATAAAAAGCCATTATCAATGGAGCACAGATATTACAAACCATGGCAACAGGGTCAGACAAAAAAAGGTGTGCATATTTCTCACCAGCAGAACTGGATGTGCTTATGCAAGCATATGCAGAATTTGAACATGTATTTAAAAAAAAAAGCAACACGGCTGCAGCGGCGAAGGAGAGAGAGTTAGCTTGGGTGAAAATAGCTGCTCGAGTCAATGCGTAAGTTTACATTTTAATTACTTTTATACAGTGTTGGGTGTAATGAATTAAGTTACTTAAGTCATATAAATACTGTAATTAAATTAAAGACTATAAAACAATAGTGGATTTAATATCAAATTTTAAAAGGTATATTTTGATTTGAACTTTCTCCCTCTAGTTACACACTTTGGTCAATTTAAGATTAATTCATGCAATTGAATATTGTTTATTTGAAAGCATTAGAAGTGCAGTTTCTTGTCTCTCCTTGTATTGTTGAAGTGGTTGATGTTGATTTGGGATTTAGAAAGTAATTAATAAGTAAGTAAAACAAATTAGTAAGTAGACCAATACTTTCTGGAGACAGTAATTATTACATTAATCTAATTAGACTTGTTGAAGATAAAATTTGTAGTTAGTAATTAAGAACTATTTTAGAGTAACCTACCCAACTGTTATAATATCAGAGGTGAAACTGGAAGAACAGTATTTTATTAAACCTAATTTAGTTTTCATGGATAGGTGCAATCCTGCAGGCATCAAAAGAACATGGCAGCAGCTGAAAATGAAATATAAAAACATACTTCAAGCAGGTAAGCCTTGAGCACATCATGGGAGTAGAGTAGCTACCTGGCTTTACAAACAGGATCATCCATAAAAGGACATGCCATTTCATTCCCTTTGATGCGCTCTACGTGACTGAAATGTGTGCAATGAATACTGTATGTCCCCAAAGAATCAATGAGGTGTTTAAACACCACTTCCTCTTTAAAAAAGGGGAGGAGACCAAAATAAACTCTGGATTTTCTGAAGAAAACCTGCTCCCGACCAGGTTAGGTTCACAGAGTAAATTGCCATGGTAACTGACTCTGAGTTTAAGTTACCTCTCTTTCAGAAACGGGCTTGACTTACTCTGCTTTCTCAGGTTTAACTTACCTCCCTTTCTGAAACAGAAAACCCAGAGTTTCCCTCATTTCAGGGTTAACAAACTCAGAGTTTTCACTTAACCTCCTTTCTGAAACAGGCCCCAGATTGGGCAGTCACTCTGATCAGAAATTATTTACCCGCTTTATCCTCAGCACTGGTTTTGTACAGGAAGATCAGAGGTGTTACACAGCCTCCATTTCCTGTGTAAATAATCACCCATTGAACAATGTTGTTTAATAAGTTATAAGATAATAACATAACTTTATAACCTGAGCTAATCCTTTGAAGTCATAGGGAAATGATATTTAAATGTCAAATCATTCTGGCTTAAACATGTATATAAATGTACTCACACGATATTGTACCAAAATTTAGAAAATTTCTGCTTTAAAAAAAATCCTGTCTTAAAATCTGTGGGTTTTTTTTCATTATCTTATTCAGACCAGTTATTATTCGTCAGCTTGTACGCCTAAATTCGGCCAATCATATATCAACGGTCATCTGTCAATCACATTTGTTCGGTCATAGCATCTTGATTCATATGTTGCAGCTAATATACGCAACGGTTGAAATAAGAATAATTTCCTATCCCAGTGAGTCAGTGTTCACGGGATGGACGTCTGTGTCTTCAGCAGGCGTAGAGCTAACAGAGCTGGCAGCGTTGCGAGGCAAGGGCTCACACATGTACGGCTGTAAGCCTTCTACACCAAACCAAACTTCTGCCGCCCTGGCGTCCTCTTCCACAACATCTTCATCCCGTTTTCCTCCTCTAAATAAAAAATGGATGATGTAGGAGACTCATCCACGACCTGCGACACTAAACTCTCCTCCTCTTGCATGTTTCCACTGTCCATAGCGTTCCTTGACAGCGTCGTTTCTAAGTCACCAATTTAGTGCTACTTGGTCCCAATGGAATTTCCCATTGGGAACCTACTAGCACTAAGTTGCTAACTGGTTAGCAAGATGCTTTTGATAAATCGGCCACAGTCAAACTTGCTTGCGAATTTTCCGCCACAATAAACCCGCCCTCGTTATAAATGAACAATTACATTCACTTTATTCACTCATGCAAAGTCGTGCATCATTCGGCAGAATTCGGAAATGCAACGGTTGGAACAGCCGTTTCCCTACGGCTTTAAGGTACTTCATAAATCAAGTGGGTTAAGTTGGAAATGAAAGAGGAAGTTTAAATAAATGGAGAACTAGGATGTGACTGTATGTGGAGCGAAGCTGACCTTCTCATGTGGGTTTGCAGAGGGTGATGCTGAAGCTGCGGTGAAGGCAGAACTCGGTGAGGAGACGGGGCTGGCTGAAGAGGATCTTGTAGCTGTTTCCTACATGGGAGATGAGCTGGACCTGGAGACTGTGGGCGACATCATTGCCATCATAGAGGAGAAGGTATTTTATTTTTGTTCATGACCTTGATTAGGGCTGGGCGATAATTCAATAACGATATATATCGATCGATAGATGTGTGGCGCAATAGAAAAAAAGAGGGTCGATAAAAGTTCGATAAAAATTTATTTATGTATTTGTTATATTTATTTTGGTCACTTTTCTGGTCACTTTAGTTTATTCTTTGTCAGTATTTAATAACATAACTCAGGTATTTTAAGTTATTTTTCCTTAAAACAATTCTGTTATGGTTAAGAAAGTTGTTTAAATAAAGATTTAATTGGAAGTCTGTGTTTGTATTTCATTATTAAAATTAAATCATTTAGCAATATTATAAAAAGTCCAGGCAGAGCTGCACATAAAATATGGTTTCAAATCTTTTCAATAATTATCGATATCGATCAATATGCATTTTTTTTTTATCGATAAGCTTTTTTTCTATATCGCCCAGCCCTAACCTTGACGCTGAATGTTAAAGCAGTGGTTCATCTCAAACGAAGGGTTTGGTTGTTGTTTGCTTTTAATGTGATCTTTGATCAGTGAGTCCTGTTGGAGCTTCATCATTTACTTTCATTTACTTACCTGTGTGGACATATTTTTATTTTATTTTTTCCTAAAACACTGTATATTTCTATGTTTGTCTCTAAATAGAAGTCAAGAGGGACTATAAAATGATAGAGATCCTTACAGTTGATTTCATACTACTTAGTTTCCACCACCATAACCACAGATTCACTGTATTTTATTGGGAGTTTATGACATAGAGAGGTTAGAAGAGGAATTTTCAATGTCTCTGAGGAGAGGAATTGATTTGAATTTAGTCTGACTGATTCCATCACTTATAGCGTCACCTTTCACTGCAGCTACAGACATAAATCTGTTGTCTTGCGGCTTTGCATTTCCAGAGAACGGCTATTTTAGTCACTTCTTTGAAAACTAGCTTTAGCTCAAATGCACAGCTAACAGTTAATGAGCACATATTCTGCGTCGGAGTAAGATTTTTACTTTCACTAGGCCCTGTTAATGAATAAATATGCTTTGGCCTTAACTATTTATTTTATTTTATTTCTGTAGTTTTCACATTAACTTTACAGAACTTAATATAAATGCGAAACATTAGAGTCATCAAGCCGGGGCTACAAATAAACATCATTTCAGCTAAACTAAAACCTCCTTTAACATAGTTAACTGTTGGTCTGATCATCAAAGATATTTGGAATATGTGATTAAAATAAAACAAGGTAATCATTTCAGAAAAAGAAGAAAAAACTAAAATATTTTTTACAATTTAGCTCCTTGGTGTGTTTAAGAAAAAGTCGCTTTCCATGTCATGAGTTTCTTTTATTATTCCTATCCAGTCTTCAGTAGTTGATGTCTTTTTACTACATTCTAGCAATATTTGGAATAAATATACATCTTTCTTTTTAATTCACATGGTAGATTGGCCAAGTAAATTACACTGAAATCAAGTGGTAGTTGAACCTGTAGTTGATTTTATTTATGGCTATCAGAGTAATGGGCACCTAACATGTCTGCGTCCCTTTTTAAGCTATATTGTTTCTTCTTCCTGTTGGTTTATCTCATGAAATGTTTCTGTTTGCAATGGGGCGACATGTTAAAACCTTCTTAATACTGTAGCGTGTCGCTGCTTTTTCCAAGTGATTCATCCTGTTTTCTGTCCCTCCCTCCAGGTGGACGACTCCGTTGAGGCTTTAGACGCAGCTGCCGTGGAGGCGGCTCTATCTCTCTGCGAGGAAGCGGTTTCCGAAGGCCACACCCTCCCCGGGCCGTGGGAGACCCAGGAGCTGAAGCCTTCAGAACCCCCCGTCCAGCAGGAGCATCAGGATGTTCCCAGCATGCTGACCCCGTCCTCCAGCAGCAATCAGGAGACACAGAACCAGCCGGACGTTAAAAGAGAAGAACAGTTCAAGGGGAGCGGGGAAGGCGCCGAGGTGGCGGGAAGCGACGTCACCTCCTCGGTCGCTTCCGACGACGGCGCGGCTGGGTGTGAAGTGGCAGAGGAGGGGGCTGCAGTGAAGGAGGCTGCAGACGCTGCGGTGAAGAGTGAAGGAGAGGACTGGAGCCAGACTGAGGCCAACCCTCCATGTCTCGGTGGGGGGGGGACACACACCTGCTCATTCATGCACAGAAATAATCCTTATTTTGTCTCTAATTCTTTCTATTCTTGTTCAGACTCAGAGGACAGTTCTGTGTCAGGGAAAGAGTCCAAGGTAACCAGGAAGAAACCGACACCTGCTGGACAGCCATTCATCATGGAGGAAAGTTTGACTCCCTTTGCTTTCTGTCAACTTCAGGAGGTGAAGGAAGAGGAGGGGGGCAGTGAGGCTGACCCCGATGAAGGGATGGAGCTGAAGGAGGACTGCGGGGAGGGGGACGGTCCCTACCTGTCTGAGGTGGAGCGGGCCGCCAGCGAGAGCGAAGACGGCTACGGTCCGCCCTCCCAGCGCTACACCGTGGATTCACTGGCCAGCAGCCCGGCCTCCTCCTCCCAGCTGTAGGTTCCTGGTTTAATTTAAAATAATTTTAAATTATGTTTGATGTTTAAAGCAGCTTTATGCTTTTTTAGATTAAACTAACTGCTGCAAACACAGTGAACCACATGGCCTCTCTCTCTAATCTTCTCTTCCATGTGAATCAGCTCCACATGTGGAGAGGACCAGGAGGCCGTCCAGGCGCAGAAGATCTGGAAGAAAGCCATCATGCTTGTGTGGAGAGCTGCAGCCAATCACAGGTGCTGCTTCTTGGAAAGCATAAAAACATAATCTCTCTTCGCTGCTCATCATACGCCTCCGTTATCTCCCAGATAGTAAGATTATTCAATCCCTATTTCTAAAATATTCCCACAATCACAGGTACGCCAGCGTCTTCCTGCAGCCTGTGTCAGACGATATCGCCCCCGGTTACCACAGCATTGTGCACAGGTAAGAAAACACAAACGCACACATTGTAACATGCAGTGTTTAAAAAAAAACAAGCTTAAGAATATACTTATGCAGTTTGCCACAATTAGAAACAACAAATATGTGGCTGGAGACATTCTGCTTAGATGAGACCAATTTTAAGCTTTCTATCCTTCAATAATTTGGTTGGAAGAGGAAAACTAGCACTAGACGCCATCCTGTATGCAACATCCCAACATTGGGCATTGTGCATCATGTGTGGATGCTTTTCTTCGGCACGGAGGAGGAAGATAAACAGGACTTAAATGCAAAGCAATGGAGAAAGAAACCTGTTAGAGGATGACCAGGGTTCACCTTCCAGCAGTGCAGCTAACCTCAGTAATCAGTCGGCCTCATTGGAAGGTGCTGTACATTAGAAAATGAAAAGTATACTGTTACAGCATAAAGGCGACTTAAATATATTAAATAATTAAAATAAGATAAGATAAGATAAAAAAAAAATATTGAGAAAGGAAAGTTGGACTGAAAGCGAATAAGCTTTAGAAAGTTCAGTCAAAGGCTGCTCTAAAGAAGTAATTCAATTAAAAGCTATTTGAGGTTTCAGTGATTTTAGTTTTCTGGGAGTTTATTCCATTTAGTGAATCATAGGAACTAAAAGCTGCTTCTCCATGTTTAGTTCTAGGTTTGCAAAGTAGATTTTATCCACAAAATCTAATTATTGATGGTCTGGCTGTTGATCCACTGACAGCAAGTATCTAATGTAGTTTGGAGCTAAGCCTTTGAGGGATTAATAGACCAACATACGTGTTTTAAAGTTTATTCTCTGGAATACGTGGAGCCAGTGGAAGGACTTTAGAACTGGGCTGATGTGTTCTACTTTTGGCTCTAGTGAGGATGCAGGCAGCAGCATTCTGGATCAACTGCAGCTGTGTGGTCCACTTTAAGGCAGAGCTGTGAAAAACACTGCTGCTCTGCTAAAGATGAACAAAGCAGGAATTAGTTTTCCGAGGTCCTGCTGAGACATTGGTCCTCCATCCTGAAGATGTTCCTCAGGTGATGGAGGAACTTTATGAGCCTTTGAAGATTCAGGTCTGAGTTCATCACTACACCCAGATTTGATGCCTGATTGCTGCTTTCTAACTGGATTAACTGGAGCTCTGTGCTAACTTTTAAACTGACTTAGTAAAAAAAAAAAACATTGCTTTACTCCTGTTTTGATTCACCTGAAGAACATTCTGTCTCATCCATGCGTTGATTTCTTCTCTGAATTAACCCAGAGCTGGAATGAGTTCATAGTGACGTGGAGACACAGTGATGTACAGCTGGGTGTCGTCAGCATAGTGACGCTGACTTACGTTATTCCTTATTAAGATCTGAGTTAGGGAGAGCATGTAGATATCAGCTAGGAGGGGCCCTAAGATGGATCCTTGGGGAACGCCATGGGGGATTTTTGTGGCCCCGATGCAAACGTGCTTCAAGTAGGATTTAATCCAGTTCAGTTTAGCGCCAGAAAGGCTGAGCCAGTTTTACAGGCTAATAAAATGTAGTTAGATGCACTAATCAGATATAATATTCAGGGTTCCCACGGGTCCTTAAAAAGTCTTAAAAGGCATTGAATTCCTCAAAATAAAACTATGGCCTTAATTGGTATTAAAATGTCTTAAATCAGTCTTTTGTAGGTCTTATTTTTTAAAACATCATAAATAGGATTTTTTTTTTACTATTTATTTTTATAATTTAAATGAAACATTAAAATTGAAAACATTTTTTTTTATAAAAAAAAAATAAAAAAAAATAACAGCTCGCCATTACTGGTTCTGTCCTGATAGCGGAACCAATTAAAGTGTTGTTGCAGCCGGGACATTTGGGAGATGCGCCATTTACTTTTTGTCTGGAAAATATGAGCAAGTGTAAATGTAACCAAAATTGGTTATCCAGCCAAGAGTTTTCTCCATGGCTAAAACCAGAGAAAAAAAACCAAGCTCAGAACGATGGGAATTAAGGCAGTGGAGTCGCACATGCGAAACACCAAACACAAAGCGTCAAAATGGAGTTACAGAGAAACAGCCGGTATTTCTCAGTTTTGTTCCACCCTTGTCTCTGCAGCGCCTCCACTTATCACCAAATCAAACATACTAAGAAAACGATACAAAGAAAAATAGCTGCAAAAAACGCTTAGCACTGGTTATGTTGTGACTTTAAAACTGATTTGTTTTGTTCCCTTCTAAAACAAAGTTTGTGAATTCAGTTAAATAGTTGTTAAAATATATCTGTCATTGGTGTGTTTTTAGCTTTCTTCCTGTATGGGAAGCTTTTCAAAATTTGAAACATTAGTGCAGTGGTTTATGTTAAAATAAACCTTTGGGTTAAGTTGTCGCAAGCAGGCTTTTCTTGTGAATTTGGTCTTAAATTTTTATTTCAAGTGGCATTAAAAAGTCTTGAATTTAACTTTCCTTATGCTGTAGGAACCCTTATATTATTGGCATTGTTCCAGAAAATCCTGAATCACTGTTAAGCCAGTTCACCTAAATTGTGCTAAAATACCAAGGAACTTTGTACTCAGATGAGATGGGTAGCTTAAGAGAAAAATAAATAAACATTTATGATCCCTAGTTTACATGACTCAAAATTCTATAATTAGGATTAAAAACACAAAAAAGTAAGTGGAATTGGAAGGTCTACATTTTTTAAACCATTAAAGTCAAAATTTGTTTTGTTTGGACTTATTTGTCTGATCTTATACTGATTCGAAGTTACCTTTTACTATATAAATGTGTACAATTATACAAAAAATAATATATATATATATATATATATATATATATATATATATATATATATATATATATATAGCAAACAGAGCTCTTGTGTCTGAAAGATATCACACTGAAAAAAAAATAGAGGTTGACAGAACTTAAATTTTCTAGGCAACGTGATGCATTTGGTTTTTTGAGTTTTCCTTACTTAAATTTACTGTGGTTGAGTTTACAAAGATTTTTGAGTTCTGCCAACTTAGGTTTTTGGAGTGTTACATAGAAATTTTGAGTTCTACCAACTTAGGTTTTTGAGTTTCACCCTTAAGTTCTGAGTTCTATCAACTTTGTTTTATGAGTTTGACATATAGATTTTGAGTTCTACAAACTCAGATTTTGTAGTGTTATCTGCAAGTTGAGTTCTATCAACTCAGTTTTTTTAGTCCAACCAATCGTCTTCACTACCAATCATTCAACACACAAAAAATTATGTTAATACAACATTTTTATTGCTTGAAGTCAAACATTGTATCAATAGATACAGTATAAAACCATGTTCAAGAACATAATCTTAACTGCACAGATCAAAGTAACCTGACACTGGACCAGAATGTTCTAGATTCGTAAGAAGGAGTGATGATGAGGGAAAAAACAGTAAGACACCGATTTAGTAAGAGGAAAACACACAGGTAATTTTTTGTGAAGTAAGTGTATTAACATATATGAAAAAATAACAGTTTTACAAATTTGGACGGCCTTCAGTTTGATTTTTTCAATTGTAGTCTCTTTAAATTGGGTGCACCCTTTAAAAAAAATAAAATGAAATAAAATGTCTTGTTTCCCAACGGAAAAAGAAAAAGGTTTTCCCTTTTTATCTCTGAGTTTTTCTTTTTAGTCCTACCACTCCGACAGGACGATGAATGCAAGAAAAGAAAGTCCTCTTCAGTCCAAATCCTCTTCTTCAGTCCAAATCCAGATGTTCGCACGGTTGGCTCACCATCTCCATTTAAGGAGAGAATCCAGAATCCAGGGTATCCAAAAACCCTGCCTGCATAGCACAACAGGGCTTAGTTAAATCCATTCACTTCTTGTTCTTAACTGTACAGTTTATATCTCTCCAAGTATGATAAATTTCAGTGTGTAATGTAACTTTTCTAACTCATTACGAATTAACTGCTGCATTACAGGGTTAACATATAAAATGTTAATGTCACTGTTTTTCTTTTAAAGCAAATAAAATCATGAAAGCAAAAAATCCACATGTAAATAATTATAAAACCACTTACAGTTAAACAGTAAATATCCACATCGGATTAAGAAAGTAAAATAATGTAGTCTTGTAATATTCTGTGCCTGAGTGCAACAACACTGCACTACATAAAACAGTTTAGAAATTTCATAAGTTATTACACTCAACTTAATGTCTCTTTTCATTTGTACAATGAAAATAACAGGCACTCTTTTCTCTAGCATAAACACTCACCCACACATGCGCGACATAAACACGCACGCGCACACGCGCACTATAAACACGCACGCGCACGCGCGCGGCTTTTCCTTTCATCAGAACGTGAAAAACATGTGAACTCATGCTTCAACTCGGTGGCAATACACCACAAGGGAATATTAACTCACGGAGCTAACCGCTAACTGTCTGTACTTTGCAGCACTCACCGGGAAAAGAAAAGATTCAGAAAACTGGTAAGGTCCCAGGGTCGTTCCTCCGTGGTTCTCCAGATGCATAAAAGGACAATGTCCGCCAGTCTTCTCAAACGCGAGGGAAAAAGGCTGTGCACTTGAAGAAAGGGATAGGAAACCCCGTACCGTAGTGGGCGTGTCCATGAACATAAGCAGTGCGCATGCCCATGAGTTTACAGTTGAGGGAACTCAAAAAATCTTGCATAGGCGATTTAAAACTCCTTGTTAAACCAACTTCTGAGAATTTGAGTTGGGCAAACATGTATTTATTTGTTAGATGTCAAATTTATATTTCTGAGTTGGATTACAATACAATTGTGTGTTAGAACAACAATTGCCATTTACTTTTTTAACAGTGCAGGATCAGAGGTGGAAATGTGGATGTGTGCATCCCTGGTTTTGATGGAGGTTTTTCATTTATTAGAATGTCTTAGTCAAAGGCCGTACATACATCCAATTGAGAATCTACAGGAAAGGATATTTTACAAAAAAATAATAAAAGATGGAGGAAAAAAATCCAATCTTTAGACATGCCAATGTGTTAGAGCCATACGTCAAAAAGGCTGCAACCAAAGCTGGTTCTTCATTACCTTGTAAGCAAGATGAAATGTCGTGAGATTGGTGAATTCAAAACCTATTGAAAAAGCAGATAAAGCCAGGAGCCAGCAGAGGCATTTGTCTGGATAGAGAAATGTTTCAGACCAATGAAATGCGGTAATGTGTATGACGTTGATGCTTCAACCAACCAAAGGCTAAAGGCTGGAGCAAAACAAACATGGCTGTGCCTGTTTCAGCTGGAATACTCTCCATTTATTTTTGAAAAACAAGCAAAAGCACATGTTCATTGCCTTCATGGAACAGAAAGATGTTTGTATGTTCCTCCCAAACAGATTTGGTTGGAGTTTAATCCATCGGTTAACTCCATGAAAAAAAATCAAGAATGTGATACAGCTCAGATTCAATTCAATTCAGTTTATTTATATAGCGCCAATTCACAACAAGTCATCTCAACACTTCACAATTCAACCAGATCATACAGTCGGATTGATTCAAAGTTTTCTGTCTAAGGAAAACCAGTTGATTGCATCAACACATCGACTCAAACGAAACTAAGCATGCTTGTAACGACAGTGGAGAGAAAAAAACTCCCTTTTAGCATGAAGAAACCTCCAGCAGAACCAGGCTCAGTGTGAGCGGCCATCTGCTGAGGCCGACTGGAGTTCAAGGAGACAGAAGCAGAGATAGATAAAGAAACAGATACAAAAGGCATCTGCCAACCAGCTCCACAGGCGGCCCCATACAGGAAACAACCAATCAGGCAGACAAGCTCTGAGCTAGCTCGCATGTCAGAGGATGGAGATAGCACATCCAGTTAGTCACAGCCAGAGAAACAGGACTACACTGGAAAACAGGCAGATCTTGAACATCTATAAACAAAGATGTTGATGGCAGCAACACAGCTGATATTTCTCTCCGCGATGGAGTCACGGCCAAACAGGAACAGACCAGATGAAGCTACTAGATGCTGCTTTTGATTGGCTAAACACCTGACATGGGAGGCAGGTGCCCAATCAGCTACTGGAGGATTTCCAAATCGATGTGTGTAGAATTCAGAATGACTTAAATGTATCAATCTGGCTCATGCCAGGTTAGGTTTTTAACGTTTTCGTTTTTCAGACATATTTGAAACCTTGAATTTAACCTGTGTTTTATTAGTCACCTTAAATCCCACTGAAATCCCACAAAGTTTCTTTTATTTTATCCTATATTTTCATGAATGATCATGTATAGTGTTGCATAAATACATCTGGTTCTAAAGGTGGTCCTTTCTGCCTGCTACAGACCCATGGACCTGTCAGCCATCAAGAAGAACATTGAGTCCGGCGTGATCCGCACCACAGCTGAGTTCCAGCGAGATATCATGTTGATGTTCCAGAACGCCATCATGTACAACTCCTCAGACCACGACGTCTACCACATGGCGCTGGAGATGCAGCGAGACGTCCTGGAGCACGTCCAGCAGTTCCTGGCCACCCAGCTCATCATGCAGACCTCGGAGAGCGCCATCTCTGCTAAGAGCCTCCGCGGCAGGGAGGGAAACCGGAAACCAGGGGAGGCGGCTGAGAAGGTGGGGGTCATGACTGTACGCGTATAAAGTTATTAAATGTCTGATCAATAAAGGTGAAAACCTTTCTATTTTAGTGGATCTGCATGCTTCATGAAACACACATTTGTAGCTGTCGCCTGTTTGTCTCATTGGCAAAATAATTACCGTAAAAAAAAACGCTTCCTCCCATCTGTGGGTAAAACTTGAGGGGAAGCCGATCAGAGGGAGAGTTTACCTCCTCTGACGAGCAGGAAGGGGTTTTAATTTAAATGTAAAACATCACTTATGAGCGATTTTCTGGTTGTTCTTTGCTCCAGACAAAGATCAAATGTTCCATTAAGTTTCTGTATACCGGTCTCATATTTCTGAGCATGACGCTGTGACTCATGAAGAGACTTTTACCTTTAGTATCAGTAAAATACATTTAAAGCACTTTTAAAGCTAATAGTATATTTCTGTAAAAAGTATTAGCTGAAATATTGCTTGTTGCTTTCCTGGACCAACAGCATCTTTTATTTTTTTCTTTTGTGAGACAGATTCAGTGTAAATAATTATCTTCAGTCTCTGGGTAAGTCCTTATGACACAACCGGGACATGTGAAAGAAATCCTGACCAAGATGAGGGTAGAAAAAAACCAACCCTCAGCATCAGTGAAAACTGACTCTATGTTGATCACTATGTTGATCATGCTGGTGCAGTAATAGTCCTTATATTTTATGGAGTTGATCTATGATGACCGATCTGTGCTTCTTTCATCATCCACCTCTATTTATTCTAATAGTACACCCAGTGGTGGTTGTTGCATGGATGGCGCCCTGGGCGAGCCGCCTTCATTCTGCCCAGCAACGCAACCAAACAGACGCCCACTCCCCTGTTCCAACCTTTCTGCTAAAAAAAGATATATTTTTTATAGATACATACAGATTATATACAGCTAAAAATATTGCTCCAATATCTATAATCACTAATTGATTAAACATTTTTTATAGAGATCCTCCTTTTTTAAGCTTTTCTGATCACTATAGGTGATCACACCTGATACGACTTTACGCAAGGTGGCTACGTAGGTTCGACTGAGATAGACCCCACGGCTATTTTAGACGGTCTACGCAGCAATTCAGCTGTAATTTTATGGGTCACAGGAAGAGAGATGCAGGTCTTGGAGTTGCACAGAGCATACATAGCAAGCAGGACACTTTTGCAAAAAGAATCAGTAATACATAAAAAATAGAACACTTTACCCAGGATAGGAGTTCAGGAGGGCAGAGAACAGATAAAGATAGCTCAGTTTATCACTCTCCTTGAAAAAGAAGAAAAACTTTAGGAGGACAAAGTAAACCTAAAATTGGGATCGTCTTTGAACCTCACAAAAAGCCCCCGGAAATAACGAGAGCAGACAGAGCAGCTAAGCACGGCGTATCTCTCTCGCCTTTTTATGAAAAAATTAAAGAAAACTTGGATAAAATTCCCAAATCTCTCTCTGAGAATCACCTCTCTGTTCAGTCAACATATAACCCTCCCCACTGCGTTTATTGCCGCGTTTTTCTTTTCTGTAGACGTAGATCGCATGTTTTTAATATAGACGAATAAGCATTCTCTGTCTGTTCTGGTTAGAGATGCTGCACAGACTCGTTAAATGGGGCTTTGCTTCATAGAATGAGGCAGTGTTTTTTTTTTTATATAACTTTTCATAATGTGTCCAAGTCAAATGTGGGAAATAGTTTTAATTTGTGTTTAGCACAGAGACATAAGTGAAAAGAGCGCTCACCCTGCCTTGTCAGAGCCTCTCTATATGTAGCCAGTGTGACATGGAAAAAAATCAGATCGGAGAATAAAAAGTGGTACGCAACCTTTACTCTCCTTTGCTTTTACTGAAGGAGTCAGACAAATACTAAATACAGCTTTTATGTTTCCATAGGTTGTAAAATGTGGTGATTTAGAAACATGGCAGTTTTTAGAGGCCGTTATTTAATAATCTTCAGAGCGAGGGAGTGGGGGGGGGGAATGGTTTCAGTCTTCAGAGGAAGGAATTGGAAGAAAAGAGAGAAGCACTGATCTGAGCTCATTCTAAGTCCAGAAAAGCATTTACATATACTTTGAATATACTGTGTTTTACATACGGAATAAGAGTTTCATTACTCTTATTCCTAACTCTTATCTGTGGTGTTTTGGGAGCGTCTTTTAGTCGGAGCAAAGCAGCTGGGTTCTATAAAAAGCTGCAGGTTTAATCCCCACAGACTCCCACTCTGGGTCCCTGAGCATGACCCCTAATATTCGCTCTCCGCTCCGTCTGGGCGAAGGGTTAAATGCAGAACACTGGTTATTTTGGAATATTTAATTGCAATGACATATAACCATTATTATTTAATATTAAAGATAAACATTTGATTTAAAATCAGAAAATAATTAAGGCGCTTGATTAAGCAACTAACAGGGGGTAGATAAAAAGGGCTTTTTGTTTGGTTGTAGTTTTTCTAAGCTCTCTATCATGCCGCCCTGGGCAGAATGCTATAACCCCCCGGTGCAGATCTTTCTTTTTCCCCCTCTACATGCAGACTGAGCAGAAAGTGAAAGCTTAGCAGCAACATGTTGTTTTTCCTTCCTGATGCACATCGCCGTCCCACATGCTGCACCAGAACCAGCTGATCCCAGTCCTGCATGTTTAGCTGCTCATCTTCCCTCCATCAGTCTGACTGCATGCTGGTGTAACTGCAAAATGAAACTTTTTTTATGATGATCTCATGCATGTTAATCTGTTATAAATACAGAGGTCTGTCATTAGGGTCCCTTCTGCTCTTCTCTTAAAGTTTGGAGCTTTATTGGTTAGAAATCTGGCTGTGTTCTGCTTGTCTCTTCTGTTTGGAAATATCAAATCTAAACGTGTCCACGTTTCCCTGATGTTTTGTGGGTGTCTGTGTTCGTCATCTGATGAGGTCCAGTAACCTCCTTCCTCGGCGTCTCGTTTGATTCTGACTCTAATGAAACTTGCTCTCTCACACTCGTGTGTCTTTGCTTTCTCTTTTTTTTCCCTCCGATGTTTGTCCTTCTACAGGACAGTGTCCCAATGGCCTCTCCTGCTTTCCTTCTCTCTCTCTTTGTAAGTATTCAGGTTCTTCCCTCAGATCTCACCAGAACCAGGTCTAAGCCCAATGATCACTCACTCTGTCTGTGTCTCTTTTCTTCTTCTGCTGACATTAAGGCTACGTAAACAGACGGAAGCGCTTCAGCTTCTTCATCCAGTCCCTGAAATGTTTCCCATTTTTGTCAGGTTATAACTAAAAACGTTTTATTTGGATTCTTTGTGACAGAGCAGCACATGGTGCATAGTAGTAAACCAGTTCTGGATGCATCATTCTTAAAGCTTTAGCAAGGAGTCTTCTTTGTCTCCACCAGATTTTCTCAAAGAAAGAGGAAAATCGTTCCAGATTCTTCTTTGCAAAACAGCTAAAGCTGAGTTAGATTGGATACGTCTGAGATGTGGACTTTGACTAGGCCACTCTAACATGTTTCTGCTGCTGGATAGTCAACCTCCCAGCATTGGATTTGCATGGCTCTAACAAGCTTTCCACCTGAATTAGTTTTTATTCATTCCCCCAGGGGTTCCCAAAGTAATGTGACGGGACCCCCTGGGGGGTCGCATGACACAGAGCAGGTGGTCGGGAGAACGTTTTTACTATCATTGGAATGTGATCATATACAATGTATCATGAAATAGATAAATAAGAATGTCTCTTTAAACAATAAGTACATGAAGATGTAACATTTATTAATTCAAATATTAAAAATACAATTGTAATTTTACAGTAACAGAATAATTAAGAGAGGATGGATGGATTTAGATCATTTTTATGTGATTTAAAAGATTAGTTTTTTTTTTTAAATGATTGTTCCGTATTTTCCGGACTATAGAGCGTACCTCACTATAAGCTGTGCGCACAAATAAAAAAAAAAAAAATGGAAACGAACATATTTATGCCACACCGGGCTATAAGCCACTGATATCTACTGAACTGTCTCCCACCAAACCTATAGGGGGAGCTCTACATAAAGCCCCTGGAGTAGAGAAGAAGAAGAATGCTAGCTTCTGTTAGCTTGTTAGCTCACAGCAGTAAGAGCTTTTACTGAAAGCTGGCGCGTCGTCAGCTCTTTATTTCAGCTCTGCAGGAGTTGAGCCCAGTGTCTTCGTTGGTTCAGCAGCTTTAATGCTGCAAATAAATGTCAAAATGTGTGAATTAGGAACATTTGTTCCCCGTCATGCCTGCTGCTAGCATGTTCTTGTCCTAACTGAAAATTAGCCCTTTATTCTTTCATTTCCAACTTTGACCTCCCCTTCTAGCGGAAAAATCCACAGAAAAGCTGCACCTTCTTATAAGTCGCATGGTTTAAAACGTGGGGGAAATTATCGGCTTATATTCCAGAAAATACGGTAGTATAATCACTTTATATGAATAATTGAATACAGGGTGAATTAATTATGTATTTTTAAGGGATTGCTGCTCTGTTGCCTTGTTAAATTTGGGGTCACAGTCTAAAATGTTTCGGATCCTTTCCAATAAACCATGACCAGCTTCTCTGTACCTGATGGATAAAAGCATCTGTACAGCATAATGCTGCCACTACCGTTGTAGTGGCGATTGTTTGTCAAACCAATACCAGGCTCCTACATTTATAGAAAGTGGACCACCCACATTTCTTCCTGTTTTACATAATAAAGAAAGAAAAAATTATAAAACAACAAAAAATAAATACACAAAATTCAACAATTAACCTATAAATAAAGTCTGTAAATAATACAAAAAATATATAAGTTTAGAAATTAACACAATTCAAATGGATAAAGAAATACAGAATAAATAGCTCCAACAACCGTGTTTTGTGTCCTTCGACCAAGATTTCTTGGAAAGAAACTGCAGATTAGACTTTTTATGGCGTTCTTTTTATATTTTTTGGAGTGCATACTTTCTTCTCCGTCGTCTATGCTGTTTGAAATGCATTTTTAGAACATTTGCTGCTTTAAACGTCTGCATGTGTTTCTTCTTCTGAGGGCTTCACAGAACAGCCCGGTCAAAGCTGACTATGCAACCATGTGAAAATCTTTTATATATTATTCTCTCCACTATAAAACACACCTCTTTGTGTAGCTCTGTCACATTACAGCTGGAGTCTGACTAAATGTGGAAACATTGAGGGGATCTGAGCTGTCTTCACAGAATCATCCCGATGTCGTTTCAGTTATTGTTTCAGTCAGACATATTAGAGTCGACATGACTGTTTTCCAGTTTGTTTTGGGTTTCTATTTTCAGCATGATTGCCTTTTGTTTTGCTTGATGGGGAAACATTCGGGCCACCTGTCACGGTGTTGCAGCTCCAAACATCGGGGCTCATAGGTCACCCATCAACTCGGAGCACGCTTCAGGTTCTGTTGTCACATCACACTATCCTGTAACCTTTCGTGGCCCAAACTTCGGTTACTGGATCCATGCTGGTTTCCCATTCTTCTGTTGCTCCTCTCTGCATGTTCTTATTCCATTTCTTTTTATTGTTTTTTTTTATTTTTATGATTTTCTATCTTTTCCTTCTTCAGTCATCCGTATGCCTCTGATTTATCCTTCATGTGGGGAGGAGTCCCTCTGAGGTGTTTTCTCTGCTGAGCCCAATCATATAACGATGCCTCTGACCTTAGTGAAACCTATCTGTGTGTCCCGCTGCAGGATGGAGGCACCAGGGGTCGCCGTAGCGCCATGGAGGCTGACCTCAAAATGAAGAAGTAAACAAGACGAAGCAGAGGTTGAACTCGTTACCTGCTGGTCGCTAAGGATGCTTTCTGGAAATGGCAGATGTCTCTACAGCCTGGTTCTCTCTGAAGGGGCTACATCTCTGTTCATTAATAAGCAGCTCTTTAAATTAGACCCCCAGTGCACTTCACGCCATCGCATAGTCTCACTTAACTGCTAAAGGTAGTGAGTAGTCACTCCCATTGGATGAAAGTGAATGAACACTTTTATAAGGAGAACATTTACACCAGCAGTTTGTTTGGGATCAATAATGGAAGGTGGAATAAGACCCGTCTGCGGGGTTGGATCATGTTCATCATTTATACGTTTGTTCGTCTGAGTCTGGATGCGTCCAGTCAGAAGTGGACGTCCCATAAGCTCTGCATGTTGGACTGATGGGTCATGTTAAAGCAGAATTCATTGGAGGTTTTGTTTTATCGCCTCCCGGTATTCTGATCTGTGTGCAAACAGGAGCATGGTTCAGCTTCTTAAAGTGGGATCACCTTTAACTGACCTCCACTTCATAAGAAGCACCTACATCAGACTAATTTTTTAATTTTCTATTAAGTCTTTAGCTGCAGAAGTGGGCTTCAGTTTTAGAAGACAGCTTTGAAATCACTACATTTTCCATAAATGGACTCCTCTTGATTGCTGACGTCATTAAGCTCCTTCCAGCCTAATGTACTGTGAATGGAGAGGGTGCTAAAACAGTGGGTTTAGTTTAAGAAAGAGGGGGTCACAGTTTGTTATTGCTGGAACTAAAATGTTCACTTAGGAAGTTACGTGTGTGTGTGAGCCCTTTGTAAATGGAATAAAAACATGCTGGTGTTACGTGTTAGAGAGTACAAAGTGGAGTTTTGTACATGAGAAGGCTCATTAGTGAGGGTAGATGAGACTTGTATGTTTTTGGTGTACATTTGTTAAATAAAAGATTTGATTAAAATGTAAAAATGGGTCAGTGATTAATTTACTAATAAGATTTACTTGGTTGAAAGGTTTTCTATAAAAAAAACAAAGCATGAAGCTACAGAGCTATGTACATATATTTGTTGGTTTGAAGCAGAGTTTAAATGTTCTGGCCTGTAGGACAGATTAAAAAAAAATCCCAATTCTGAAATTAACAATTTCCAAAGATTGTTTCAAAAAAATAACCTCTCACCACCCATACGCACTTGTTTACTCTTGAAAATAAACAGCGATACATAAGCTGGCTGATTATCAGTATGGGCTTAAATGTTCACTATTCATTAGTGATATTACAGGGAGAGAAGAAATGACCAAGTTTGATCTTTTGATGGAAATATTGGACTCAGTTTCACAAAATAGCTAATTGCAGTTTAAGGTGCTAGTTCTAGAGATTTAAATTAGGACAGTTTATTTTATTGCAAGCTTTTTTCCATCCAGCAGCCATGCAATGCATGTATTATTGCTTCCTTTTTTTAAATCCATTTAGTTTGATTTGTTACTGAATGCATAAATTGAATAGTTTAAGCAATATCTCCTCTAGGAAAAACGGCAGTTCATTGGTTAGACTTGTCAACTAATTTGGTAAATACATTTTCCAAACATCATGGAAACTGCAATCCATTCACATCTGATCCAAAAGAATCCAAATCAGGGGTCTGCAACCTTTGGACCCTCTACAATGGCCTTTAGTGAAACCAACTGCTGGTTCTGAATGCCATTCTTAAATGTTTAGCAGTTGCATTTATTTTTCCATTTGTCACCCAAATGAAAAATGTTTAGATCAGCATTTATCACTTTTACAAACTCCAAAAACAGCTTTTTCTGCTCTTTTGTCTTGACCTTATTTAAAAACTAAAGATGCAAATAAACAGCTTAAAGTAGATTTTCTGTTTCAGATATTCAAGTTATTTAAAGACCATGTAGGATTTGTGGCTCTTAGATTTGCATTTAGCAGGACTCTAAACTGATTTAAAAGGTTGCAGATGGCTGGTCGATCATTTGTCACCAAGGGGTGAAATTACTTTAAGTTTTTAAAGAGACTGATGTCCAGACAAGACTTTATAGCAAGGAATTTATTATGCAGTTCAAGTTTCATAAATAAAAATGACAAAAACAAAAACAGTACTCTGGTAGTGAGGCCAGCTCAGTCCTGATCAAGTCAAACAGTGTCAGACAAGCAGCTGTGCAAAAATACTCTGGAACAGAGTGAAAAACAAAAGCTTTAGGTTGAGGACCTGCTCAAGATGTACAATAGTAAAAAAAAAAAAAATCAAAAGACTAAATCACATTGCAGTGTTTCCAACTCTACATTCACAACTGACATGAAATGGGTCTAGAGTCTATGGGCCCCTAGCTGAAGCCATGGGGCCCCTAGCTGAAGCCATGGGGCCCCTAGCTGAGGTCATGGATCACAGGACTGGCTGAGGAGTAGAGCTTCCTCTTCACCAGCCGGTACTCCGGCCTCAGCTTCAGCACCTTCCCGGAGTCAAAGATGCTCCACCCGTCCTCCTTCTCCACCTTGAACACCACAGAGAGCTCAAAGGTGGGGGTGACAGCCGGGTCCGGCACCACGCTCCCCGCAGCCTTCAGTCCGTCTTTGCTCTCCACGTAAAGCCTGATGGAAGCGCCTCGGAGCCCGCAGGGCTCATCGGCGGAGGAGCGCAGGATGTGCTGTCCGACCCTGCTGATCATGTTGCGGGGCAGCAGCAGCGCCTGGCAGCGGAGGACGGACTGCTTGGCTTCCGTCAGACAGCTCTCCATCTGCCGGGTCAGGTCCTGGTGGAGGAGCCGCTCTTCATCCTCCAGATTTGAAACTGAGGAGGAGGAGAAAGGTCAGAGGTCACAATCACATTGGGTCATTTGATCCTAACGGTTATTTAATGAACTTCCGGCAGGTTACTTACAGGGCCAGCCTCCTTCTCTCTCATCCCAGCTCTCGACGCTTCCCCGCCGGGCCGAACTGGACACCCGGTCCGAGGCTTTGTGCTGGAAGAAGTACTTCCCAATCATCTCCGCCACACTTTCCTCCTCCGTCATGAGCGACACTCCGTGTCCAAAAGGCATAGCGGCGATATAGACCATCCTGGCTGTGATATGTGAAGCTCCCGTTTCTCCTCCGGCTGTTTTCTCGATGTTTCCTCCATATAGTAAAAACGAGTGGATAGAAAACCGGCAGAGTGGAGAGATTTTATAGAGAAGGGGCGGGGCTTCACCTTACATCAGCCAGGAGGGGCGGGGCTTAGAGCAATAAGTCCAGAAACTTCCTGATTTGAGGATCACGCAACCATCCTGCCGATTGCAAACAGCTGAGAGCTGTCACGTCCTTTCAATACTATGGAAGGCAACCGTGTTAAAGCATTACATCAGCAAGAATACTCAAATTATAATAAAATAAATAAAATAGTATAAAGTGAAGGCAACCGTGTTAAAGCATTACATCAGCAAGAATACTCAAATTATAATAAAATAAATAAAATAGTATAAAGTGAAGGCAACCGTGTTAAAGCATTACATCAGCAAGAATACTCAAATTATAATAAAATAAATAAAATAGTATAAAGTGAAGGCAACCGTGTTAAAGCATTACATCAGCAAGAATACTCAAATTATAATAAAATAAATAAAATAGTATAAAGTGAAGGCAACCGTGTTAAAGCATTACATCAGCAAGAATACTCAAATTATAATAAAAATAAATAAAATAGTATAAAGTGAAGGCAACCGTGTTAAAGCATTACATCAGCAAGAATACTCAAATTATAATAAAATAAATAAAATAGTATAAAGTGAAGGCAACCGTGTTAAAGCATTACATCAGCAAGAATACTCAAATTATAATAAAATAAATAAAATAGTATAAAGTGAAGGCAACCGTGTTAAAGCATTACATCAGCAAGAATACTCAAATTATAATAAAATAGTATAAAGTGAAGGCAACCGTGTTAAAGCATTACATCAGCAAGAATACTCAAATTATAATAAAATAAATAAAATAGTATAAAGTGAAGGCAACCGTGTTAAAGCATTACATCAGCAAGAATGCTCAAATTATAATAAAATAAATAAAATAGTATAAAGTGAAGGCAACCGTGTTAAAGCATTACATCAGAAAGAATACTCAAATTATAATAAAATAAATAAAATAGTATAAAGTGAAGGCAACCGTGTTAAAGCATTACATCAGCAAGAATACTCAAATTATAATAAAAATAAATAAAATAGTATAAAGTGAAGGCAACCGTGTTAAAGCATTACATCAGCAAGAATACTCAAATTATAATAAAATAAATAAAATAGTATAAAGTGAAGGCAACCGTGTTAAAGCATTACATCAGCAAGAATACTCACATTATAATAAAATAAATAAAATAGTATAAAGTGAAGGCAACCGTGTTAAAGCATTACATCAGCAAGAATACTCAAATTATAATAAAATAAATAAAATAGTATAAAGTGAAGGCAACCGTGTTAAAGCATTACATCAGCAAGAATACTCAAATTATAATAAAATAAATAAAATAGTATAAAGTGAAGGCAACCGTGTTAAAGCATTACATCAGCAAGAATACTCAAATTATAATAAAATAAATAAAATAGTATAAAGTGAAGGCAACCGTGTTAAAGCATTACATCAGCAAGAATACTCAAATTATAATAAAATAGTATAAAGTGAAGGCAACTGTGTTAAAGCATTACATCAGCAAGAATACTCAAATTATAATAAAATAAATAAAATAGTATAAAGTGAAGGCAACCGTGTTAAAGCATTACATCAGCAAGAATGCTCAAATTATAATAAAAATAAATAAAATAGTATAAAGTGAAGGCAACCGTGTTAAAGCATTACATCAGCAAGAATACTCAAATTATAATAAAATAAATAAAATAGTATAAAGTGAAGGCAACCGTGTTAAAGCATTACATCAGCAAGAATACTCAAATTATAATAAAAATAAATAAAATAGTATAAAGTGAAGGCAAAGGTGTTAAAGCATTACATCAGCAAGAATACTCAAATTATAATAAAATAAATAAAATAGTATAAAGTGAAGGCAACCGTGTTAAAGCATTACATCAGCAAGAATACTCAAATTATAATAAAAATAAATAAAATAGTATAAAGTGAAGGCAACCGTGTTAAAGCATTACATCAGCAAGAATACTCAAATTATAATAAAAATAAATAAAATAGTATAAAGTGAAGGCAACCGTGTTAAAGCATTACATCAGCAAGAATACTCAAATAAAATAAAAATAAATAAAATAGTATAAAGTGAAGGCAACCGTGTTAAAGCATTACATCAGCAAGAATACTCAAATTATAATAAAAATAAATAAAATAGTATAAAGTGAAGGCAACCGTGTTAAAGCATTACATCAGCAAGAATACTCAAATTATAATAAAATAAATAAAATAGTTTAAAGTGAAGGCAACCGTGTTAAAGCATTACATCAGCAAGAATACTCAAATAAAATAAAATAAATAAAATAGTAAGTGAAGCACATTTGTTGAATGCAGAACCACCCATCAAAGAAATCATGTTAGATAAATTAATACAAGAGTATAAGGGCCATTGAAAAAGCTAAAAAAAAACAGAAATTCAATAAACAAAAGTCTGCTAATTAATCTGAATTCGACTAATTCTGATTTTAATCTCAGAATTATTCTTATAGAATTATGATTACCTCATATTCCTATTTAAATGAAGTGAAAATCCAGGGTTTTGGCAATAGAGTTCTAATTTTACCTTTAATTCTGAGATCAAAGGTTACATTTTAAGTCAGAATTCAATAGCCTTTTTTTGGTCAATTTTTAATGGCTTTCATCCTCTTCCATAGTGATACAGCTCGAGTTCATATTTGGGGGAAAATCCATATGAGAACTGATATTCATTTAAAATTTGGCAGTATTTGACAACATCTTCCCATCAGTTTAATTGTTTAAGACTGAACTATTTCAATCATGTTGTCACCCTGAAACATAA